TTTTTTTTTCTCTTCCAGTGTACAAATTGATCAAATTGTGGTGTTAAATGACAAGTAGTAACAGCAGGAAGGTCGCATACAATGTCAAAGTAACCGTCAGAAACATTGTTTTTTGTCTGCCTCAGTAATTGTTCGTTTGGGTTTTATTTTAGGCTGTGTCTGCTCCCTTCTGCCCATCATGACCCAAATTCTGCCTCTCTAACACCAGCATGCAGGTTCTTGCACAGGTGAGGCCAGATTGCCTTTTGATCAATTTGATGCTTTCTTATTTATGGTTTAAAAAAAAAAAAAAGGATGCATCTTTGAACATGGAACACTACTTTACTTTGCAGAAGGACAAGATGTCGCATCAAAACATCGTGACAACAGTGCTGCAGCTGCACATCATGTGCAACGAACATTGATGACTGATTGGTACCTTAACAGACAACTTAAAGCTCTACAGCTGTAATGTGGGCTTACTGCTGGTGGGCAACACAGAAGTCTTATTGTCATCGCCACAACAAACCTGGTCCAGACACACACCACAGTAAATATGCAGTGTCTAACTGTTCAATAATCCTTTTGAGTCGGAGAAGTCACGTACATGACTAATGGCTTTTGCTGAGGCTGTATTGCAGAGGTGACTGGAATGGGTTGAGTGTCTGTATTCCTCTGCAGGGATTACAGTTTTTGTGATTGCCTTGCATCATCAGAGGCCACAGCTCATCTTAAATATCTGCATGTTCTGGGTTTGGTTTTTTTTGTTGTTTTTTCCAGCCTGCACTGGGTCTCAGGCATGATGTGTATGCATTCGTTAAAATTGGGGCTGGGCACTGGCATTAAACTCATCTTGACAGTCGTATACCTGAGTAGTAATAATAACGGCACTAATATATTTTAACACCTGTGCTAAGATTCTTTAAGGTGGTCTGAGAAAATCATCAAGATGAACATTAACAAGATCTTGATGGTCACCCACAAGAAATCACTACACACATTTCCTATATGGTTGGTGAAAGTATTACATTTACATTGGTACTTGCACCAGTACTGACCTTATTAAACAGAATTGCTATCAGGCACATGTGACCGAGTTCTGCCCCCTTACCGTTTTTGGTCCCTTGATCTTCATATACTAAATGTGTATTCTTCAACACCGGATATTAAAGAGTCTGTAAACCTTTTAAAACATGTTTGTTTTTGTCTTTTCACTAAATACATTTTCAAATAAACACTTGTATTTTCTTTTATTAATCAGTGAGTGCGATGAGATTATATTGGTGGTACTTTTTTTTTAAATTTATTATAAGGATTATCCCACATAACAAATTCTAGAGGCAGAGAACTCTAGAGAGTTGCTGATTTTGTGGGATTTATGTCCATATAGATTAAAATCTACTTAATTGTGCCATGTAATATAATTACAATTTTAGATTAAAAGATGTGTTCAGTCTCCTTTCAGTACTGAGTAAACTTTGGACTGTGATATGATGTATGATCTGTTCACTGAGGCGTTATCTTTCAGTCCTGCTTTTCCTTTGTGCTTTACTTTTTCGTCTTTGTCTTCCTGCTGCAGTCGAGACAGCTGCTCTCATTCACATCAGTGTCTGATTCTCAAGGAGGGACAAACGTTTCAATTTTCAATTAAAGTGAATTACATTTAGCTACATTGTTAAACCTTCTTATTTTGACTTAGTGGAACTAGAAATAGACTTATAATAGAAATTTGGGTCCGATCATGTCTGCTTATTTTGTTGTGCATAATTCCTTCTGAAAAGGAAGACCTGCTCCAAGATTAAGAGCAATGGCAAACATGTTTGGCCAAGTGTTGAAGTAATAACCTTTAAGGAGTTTGTTCCAGACTTCTGCAGCACAAACGCTAAAACAGCTTCAACACATTTGCAGTGAATTCTGGGAGCAATCAGCAGACCAGTTGGAGAAAAAGCAAACGGACCAAAAATAAAAACCGTGGGTGCTTTCTAAAACTCCATTAAAAGTCTGGTTATTCTGTATGAACTACAGGAAAGGAGAGCTCTCAACCCAGTTAAATGAGCAGCTACGGTGTTCGAATTGACAACCTGTTGGCTGTCCGTCTCTGCTGTACAATATGATTTAAACCACCAGGTGGCAGTTGAACATCAGTGGTTCCTCCAGTCTGGACAGATGCTCCTGGCCTGGTGCCTGGTGCTCTCTGTCACAGGTGTGTTATAAAGCAACACACTTCTCTGGATTTATTCTGTTACAGAAACACATGAGTGCCTCGAGGCTCCACACAGACACTGATCACTCCAGCAGGAGTCCCACCTGTGAGGAAAACCTTAGTCTTGCAGGCAAATTAACATAAGCATCTTTGATTCTCTAATTCTTTCAGCAAACTCAAAACATCCCTGTTTTAAATATTCTGATATTTCTCACATGCTTAACTAGCAAAGTTAAGAAGTTCTCTGGCCAAATGCTGTTAGCTAAGAAAAGAATTTGAAATTAAAACATTTTTCCATGATTATACCAAGGTAACCCAGAGGTTGTCTGGGATAATGCATGGAAACAAAGATCTGTGCAGACAGGTTTGAGTGAAGCACTCACAAATAATCTCTATATTACATTGTTTGGATCTAAATGTCTAAGAATATACTCCAGCTTCATTACAACACTTGGTTAAATGAATCAATTTAAGTCAGACCTTTATATAACTATAAATGGTATAAAATACAGCTTTTCGCAATCAAATATAGTAATCACAGTAATGCAATCATCACCTCTTAGAAATAAAATGGATACAAAGTTCAGACTTTGTAACTTCAAGAGTATTCAACATACTTGAGACTTATGCCTATAGTAAATTTAGATAATTCAACACAATCCCTTTGAGTTAACATCACATAATACATGCCAGTGTTACACACGGCCATGTGTTCAGGTGGTGTACGACTTCATCATCCTTGTTCATTGTGCAGCCTGTGTGCTGAAAAGTATAATTCTCAAATAATCCTCAGATAGTTCAAGGATTTTTCTCTCTTCTTTCCTTTGTTCATACCTTTTTCATTGGCTGTTTTCAGTCAGCACTCATAGACCCACACTGAATGGAGAGTGCTAAAGATCATCTCTAACTTTACAGTCTGAATATTTTCCTACCTGTGTGACAGTTCTGCCCGCAGACAGCAGCAACATTTCCTTTTGACCTCAAAGGTCTGAGCGCTATCTGAGAGCTTACCTGTTGTTGATCTGTGGATGTAATAATGGATGAAAGATGTTATTCTGGTGGAAAGAATTTCAAATGCCTCTAGTAAAGTGTTATAAATATTTAATTCACAGTATTTTTAATCTTTTTAACTGCAGGGAACGCTGATGAAAAATATTCCATGTGCACATTTTGCAAAGATAATTTTTATTCAAGTGAAAGTCTGCAGTGAAGGGCACTGTGTGACTTCATTTGATGTAGAACAAGAGACCAATCAATTATTCATCTCGTTAATTGTGAACTGACATCACATTTCTTTTCATAGCGGTGCCTCAAAGGTTGCATAGTCTTGTTTACGGCAGAGCGCTGTCATTAACTTTAGAGATGGCAGAGCACTGTGGGAGTCTTTTTTAGTGCTCGATTCCCAGCAAACGTCAATCCGGTCGTCGTTTTTCCACCAGAACCCTGTCAATATCAGCCGAGCTGTCTGTCAGACTGTGTCACGGAGCCGAACAATGCCCTCCATCTGGGCACTTTTTCTGTCAGACTGAATCCAACTGTACTGACACCACTGCTATAGCAACTGAAGAGCAGCAGGCTGTACGGTGCCTGTGTTTAGGAGGAGCAGGTTATGTCAGCCATGGTGAAATGTTTTGTTCAAAGATGTTTTCAGTCTCCTGTACTGAGGGAAATTTGGGCTGTGATATGATGGGATGTATGATCTGTTGTTCACTGAGGTGTTATCTTTCAGTCCTGGTTTCCCTATCTGGCTGTCTGAGGATAACAGTCATTCTCTCTTTCCTTTGTCTGCTCTTTACTCCTTCCTCTTCTTCCTTCCTGCTGCAGTTGAGACAGCTGTTCTCATTCACATCACAGTGTCTTGGATTCTCAGGGAGCAACAAACTTCAATTTTCATCATTTTGTTTTCAAGCCAACTGTGGTCAGATGAGACATCACAATGCTTTGCAAAATAAATGGACTGTAGCGTATTTTAAGATCTGAAATCATTTAAAATTGCATTGCAGATTTCGTAATGATTATTCAATCATCAAAGTTGTTGCAGATTAGAATCAACTAATCGATTAACCAACTACTTATTTCAGCACTAATAGAACTGGGTCAATTGAAGAATGAAAAGAAAGACCAAAGGAAGGAACTGGTAGAATATGTCACTGAAATGTAGTGGAGGAAAAGCAGTCTGGGAACTGGGCAATATTTCAGTTCAAAGGATTCAGTTAAGGATAGAACCTGAATAAATGTATTTAGTTACTGGCTCTGGTTTATTGTGAATGTTGGATCCAAAAAATATTTTTATACTTTTAATATTTTTTCATCCAGCTTGTAGTGACTTGTTGAGTCTGTAATTATTACACCAATTTCTGACCAAGATAGACTGTAGAAATATGGATTTCAGAGATGCTCTCATTCATGAATATCAGAGTAATATAAATGAAAAGCTCTGTCTAATTTTATGTGTCAGTTTTTGACTTTATGGTAATAAAAGTTGACATTTCTGCAGGGTTAAAAGAAGAACAGTTGCCTGGAGAGGATATTACAAATAATCTGGCTGTTAAACAGTAGAAATGTGCATGATCAACATCACTAGTCAATAGTTTTTGTTGTGGGTTCAGACGTTTCCATTTGAGGATGCTCTTGAATCTGCTACAGTCGACTCCAACCCACACATCATTTGTATACAGATCATCTTCTTTTCAAAATTCCATCAGACAGCAAAGAGCTGTAATAGACTTTTCTAATGGGCATAAAATTATCAGTTCTAACCGATGATGGTGTGTGTTAAATCATGCACACTGGACAGAACAACTTAGATAACGCCGCATGAAAGTTTAATATTATTCAGCATGTTGTAATTACTAAAAATAATTACTAAAAGTAAAAGTAATGAGAATTTAATCTGTAAAACCCAATGAATGTAATTTTAAAATATGTATTTATTGGTTTTGGTCTGTTTTTATTACTGAATATTATGATTAATATTATTACAGCAGTAACAGCTGAAACGGTCCTGAAGGTGGCAGCACATACGTTACCATCAACTAGCTGTTGAACTAATAACGGTTAAATTTCACAACGGACTTCAGATTTATTTCTTACGTGGCCTTGTATTAATTATATTGGCTGTCTCACTGAATATGTGCATTTAATGTCACTGGATGGACATTTAACAAGAATTCATAGTTGCGTTCACACATGCCCACGAGGGATTTAAAATAGGGATTTAAATATTTTTTCTGCTGTGTCTTGTCTCATTTTCCTCTGTCCCCACAGAAAACTGTGATCGTTCTGATTGACAGGAGTGCAGTGAGTGATCATAGAGGACTGATCGACTAGACTTTGTGACCGGAGGCAGCTCTTGTTTTGCTTTTAACTGAAGTCACAGAGAAAACATCCAGATGCCCACAGATGTTTCCTGAGTACCGGGGGGAGACACGAATGTCCAACACCTGAGTGTGAGAGTGAAGCTGGGAAGCATCTCTTAAAAGAAGATAAATATGTTTGTGCAGCCCGAGGAGGCTGTTGTGCGACTGTGCAGGTCCAGAGGGAACTGCACCTTTCACGGTACTCTGAACACACTCATACAGGCTGATGTGCAGATGTGAGCCAGCGATCAAAGGAAGGTTTCATATTAACAGCTAAAATAGCTTTTCTGCTAACCAGGTCATGTTGATTTGTTCAGCTCCTGAAAATGGCCGATCAGGGAAGTAACCCCGGGGCCCCAGTGAGCTGCTAACATGTATATGTAAACACAATGTTTCACCAACGCATGTTAATGTTATGAGGCAGCTTGGTGTCAATGATTCATAGTACAGTCATAGTCCCTGTTAATGAAGAGCCACGCAGAAGCATAAATGGTCCCAGTATTGCTCTAAGGCAGAAACTGGGTTTGTGTAGTACTTTGCCTTAAAGGACCTCATCAATCTGTGATGAACACATGATCTTAATAGCTTAGCTTAATAGCATTTAGGATTGACTAGGTAGTATCCACTGAAACATTTTCAACTTGCGCTGAGGGCTTTACCTTAATTTT